AAATGCTTTTGGCGATTTGTTTTAATATCATATAATACCTAATCAAAGAAATGTAATTACTCCGGTATGCTCGGGTTTACTATAAAATAGTTGTCACCAGTCTTTCATATTTCAATTTTGTTACCAAAATCCTTATATGTAACTTGCAAACACAGTTCTATTCAGTTATTACGATAATAAATTAATTTAACATATTAAACTTTTTAGGTGTTATAAATGCTTATTTTCATGATATTAGGAAACCTAGCCCGGGATCTTCGTTAGGAAGTATCCAGAGCTTCAAGAGTGTCATGGAACGGACGGAGTCAGCTCCACTGCTGGGCACAGCGGTGCCACCTACTTACAAGTCTCTAGATAAAGGAGATCCTACGGTTAGTTTATTTGAATCTAGACACTTTTCAAAATGGCGTAGTTAGTTAAGCTCATATATTTTTTGAAACTTCGAGCGAGGATGCAACGATGAAACATATACCTACAAAAACCTGTTGTTTAATTAGTAAAATAGTATTATTATACCTATACAATTGTAAATTTATAAGATTAAATACTTATTTGTTTTTTTGTAGGAGAGTAATCTTCAGAAATACTGGTCCGAACATGAAAATTCTTTGAGCTATGGAAGCTACGTGACATACCCCCGGTTTGTGAATTGTTAATTTAAAGTTAAGCACATCTCAAACTGTTACTTAAACAGGTTTTCGTGTTTCATATTAGTTTTTTTTTAATGATCTGTTTACAGCAGTTTGATAAAACTAGGACTTTTGCGCTATGAAACATAAAAAAGTTAGTTAAGTTATTGAGAATAATTCGTTGAGATTTTGTACTTTTCTCAATGAGGAAGCATTTAAAAAAAAATAGTTCCCGAAATCAATCTAGATGTCGCTACGGTACGTTCTTCATGACAACCTTTCCGGTTTTCTTTCATGTTTAAAAGTAAATTAGTTTTCAAAACTCAAAAATCAACTCATATTCTATTTGTACTTTATCGTATTTGTATTAATATCTAAATTGCGAACTTTTCAAATTTAATTTTTTTATATATTTTTTTCTTTTTTGGTCCATTCGTTTCCTGCAAAAATCAACTTTTGCTAGAGTCGCCATCTAGTGGAGGTGCTTTTTAGTGCTTTCGTTTTTTTTTTAATTCTTCCTCATTCAGGAAACGGATAATAAGCTATAATGAGCCTAATAACTTAAATATAAAAATAGAAGATTTTTAAAGATTACGGTTGAATGTAATGTAAAACAAAGCGGAAATATGTAGGAAGATATACTTTTATCCAGCTTTAAAGAGGTCACTTATCACCCAGACTTTTTACTCAACTGGCGTCAAACGCGACCGATAGTAAATTTCGACATCCTCGTTTCATAATACCTAACTTTTAAAATCTCTAAAATGTAACGACGAAAAATTTATTAAAATATAAAGTGAGCTCTATGACTGAGTAGTCCCCGCGCAAGTTCCAAGGTGTCGGTGGTGAAGATATCTATGTATATGTCTCGGGTTCAATTCTTGGGATTTGTTTCTTGAAATATACAATTGTCTTGCTCTCTGTTGATAAACATGATTAATACATTAATAAATTGCAATTATTTGAGAATGTATAAACATTTATAGTGGGTAGTATCACTTTCATGGGTTGTATTATCCATGAAGGTTAACATTTTAAAGTAAACATTTTAAATACTTTAAGTGACTGATTGAATCTCCCAATAAAAGTGCAATGCGTCTATTTGTTACCATTTTATATTATTTATCGATTTGTGTATCGAGATTCGTATTCAGTAGAGTCACATCACTATTAATAAAACTAATCAATCAATTTCCATTAATATGCTAACTACGATTAGAATACGCGTATATTTAGTAAGATACAGATAATTAGCAAAGACATTGACCTTACAGTATGTAGAGCATGAAGCTTTAAAACGGTCTCATAATGAACAAATCTAAGCCCGATAACAGCGTAGAGACAAACAATGTCTCAGATAATAATATAGAGATACTTGTTGCTTATGTCCAGAATAACTTTAAAACTTTTATTAAGTATCTAAGTTAATATTTTTACGAGTTGTTTTCGGTAATAATTACCTGGACGACCGAGTGTTGCTTGTTATTTTTTTTATGAAACCTAACTAGGTTGATTTATTGCCCCTAAAACTTCCTGCATGCTAAATTTCATGAAAATCGTTGAACTTGTTTCCGAGATTATCTGAATCTCATAGATATATGAAAGAATTCCACGTTTATAGGTATTAGATAGAGATAGAAGTACTAATGTCTTTATAGTCTTTATAATGTTGGTACATACCTGCTATTGTAATTAATAAGCATGGAAGATATAATATGAATCATAGTCATGTCAAGAGATATCTCTTCTTGCTCATGTATCCAAAAAAGCAGGCTGAAGTTTTTGTTGGTTTTTCTCGATACAAGATCTCTCTCGTAAATTTGCAAAATGATGCAATAAATTATATTGAGTAATCTTTTTAAAAATATCTAAAAACCATTTTATCGCATTTTATAGTATCTACATTTCTTAACAAACACTACAAAACATTTTAACGGACATTTGAATTTAAAAAAAAAAACCAACAACAACAAAAATGAAAGATGGAATTCTTTACACACATATTATGTGATCGTTGAAAATAAGCGATACTATCGTCACCCTTAGCATTTTGTATCGTTTCCGCAGAAAGTACAAATGACCCCATTTTGACCATTTTAAGAATTACAAGGAACGGAACTTTGACACAAAACAGGCATCGACGGTATTAGTTTTACGGTAATTCAACATTATAAAGTAATATATTTGCCAATGCTATAGTTACACAACGTGTTGAAGTGCCAAAAAATCATAAAGGTGCGAATCCGAGTTGCAAAAACCAGATCATCCGCCCTACTGCGTGTTGTTGTTCGAGACGCGAATAAATCGCTAACTCCATCCAATACAACAATAGTCAATACGAAATGATGCCGATTTCTATGGATAACGATACATATCGCTTATTTTCAACGTTTATATAATACTTGGTCATTGTCCGTCTTTTCACTGTAAGAATAGACTATAGGTATATGTAGTGAGGAAAGTATTTAAAAAAAAACATTAGTTCCCGAAATCAAACTAGATGTCGCTATAGTACTTTCTTGATTTTTCCATGATAACCCTTCCGGTTTTCTTTCATGTATAAAAGTAAATTAATGTTCTAAACCACAATAAACAACTAATATTCTATTTGTACTTTTTCGTATTTGTATTGATATTTAAGTTTCTAACTTTGCAAATTTCAGTTTTTTGATATGTTAGTTAAAAGGAACGGAAATGAATATCTTTGACCCATTCTTTCCTACAAAAATCAACTTTTGCTAGAGTTGGCAACTCTAGTGAGGTGTTTTTAGTGCTTTCTTTTTTTTCTTAAAATACTTTTTCATTCTAAAAGTATCTTGTGGATAACGTTCTTTACCTCAAATAATTATTTCCGACCTTGTGTGAAACGCAAATTGTATACATAACTTAATTTTATCTTTATTGCTCTTAATTAGCGATGTCGACGTTATTTTGACGTAAACGTTATTTAAACCTATACACTCAACTTGAGAACATACGATATTATCTTGTACGATATTAAATTATTACGGAAAGTTGTTAATAAGTAACTACTTTGGTATATGTAGATGATACGTTCGACAATTATCTTCATAATCATATCGAAGGCCAAGAATTTAATTTTTAAAACAAAAGCTCGAATTCGTCTGAACTAACGTCAGTCTTTAATCTGAATGTTTGATTTCATCACTTCGTTCTTTCGATCATCATCATATTTGGTGAAAAGATATCATATTTTAAAAATAAACGTTGGACTGGTTAAAATTCTACTGAATAACCAAAATTATAAGTGTACCACAAGGAACGATATTAGTGCCTATACTATTTATACTCAAAGTATTACACCAATGATCTGACTTTATTTTGAAAATGTACAGATATTAAGTTTGCTATTATTACAGCTAATTATTTCACAATGCACAATAACATTCTCGTATATAATTCTATAGTTAATAATTTTAAGTTATATTGTATAAGTAATATGAAATGTAAAAGTTCTGGATCACTTACGAAACTTTAATATCTTAAATATTGTACATAGTGTATTAAAATAAAAATAACAATTTATTTATCTCACTGTGTGACAAACTCTCTAAACTAGTCTATGATTAACCTCTTAAAGAAATACAATAAAGAGATTATCGTCGATAGCTGTAGGTATAAGTATAAACTGAGAATAAATTATAAGAAAAACAGAAAAAATGGTCTTTGCGACTTTAAGATCTAGTAAATTAAAAGCGCTTAGTTCTTAACTAAGGTAGTGTTTTACATTCTTCTGTGAGTTAGCAATGAATAAGACTCTTTGAAGTCCACCGGACTAAAGGAGTGTAACTCTGGCGGCGAGTCACAATAGATCTTTAAGGTCGCTGTGACTACAGTCTCTCAGGGAACTGCATAGCCCCTTAAAACAATAAATAATAATAATATTATTACAGGATCCCGCAGAGTTATCGGCGAGTAGAATAATCACCTCGTATAAACTATTTGAGAAACCAACTAAGCCCGAGAGAAAAAAACAAAGTTCATTAGTCACTATGTAAGTTTGTCTATATTATTTAACTAAGTAATTATAAATCTTATAAACATATATCTTCAGCGAGTCTTTAGGTAGTCTGATAATTTAATAAACTATTAAACACCAAAGGTACTGTGCAATATTTTTCATTATTTAATTTCTAAATAATTTCTAAAAAAAATATTTCGTAATAAATTTCAATTTCTAAATAATAAAAAAATAATCCACATATCTACTACATGTCTTCTACCTTAAAGAAATCCATTGGAACTTGTGCGCCTATAAAAGTGGGATCAAGTCGGCACCATCAGTTCTCATATAAACGGTGGCTTGTCGTCATTCCACCCTTCCCTTTGTTCGCATTTACCGATGTAATTTTTAGATTTTCAGTATGGAACACCATCATGGGGTCTTCACTGTTAACAATGGCGTGGGGCGTGGAGGCCGCTGGTTTGCCGGTCGCGTTAATCCTAGTAGCACTGATGGCCGCCCTCTGTCTGTACACAGCCTACGTACTACTGCGTGTTAACTCATACCATGGTTAGTTTTAAACGCAACTTGTTGTTTTCTCTGGTCCTCAATAACAGTAGACGCCGAGTGCTGAGCATAGGCCTTCCCTATAAATCTCCACGAGGACGGGCCTGCGCTGCCTGCATTTCATATTTATTTAGTATCAGACTATACACTAGTCAAATGCTCATACAGTGTTAGATGGAAAGAATTCAGGTATAGGCTCTCGTTGTACCCGAGCCTCTCCTTCCGTTAGTCCCCTAAAGGTCCCAAAAGAGGGGTGAGCGTCCTGGCGACTCGGTCACGACTTACCGGGTCTCATCCCCAGGGGAGAGTACACCGTAGAAGTTTTTGTGGGTAGGCCTTCGGGAGCCCATCGCGCAGCTAGCCACGGGGTGGGTTCACGTAGGAGAGTCCCACACACCCTCCTGTCGCTTGCCAGACGGCAGGGGTTGTGCCTAATGCCTGCCTCTAATGCCCTGTTGCCCTAATGCCTGTGTGCCTCTACGTAAAAAAAGGTTTATCGCTGGTATAACAAAGAAAGTTTAATCAACATTCACATCGATTCCTTCTATTTTCAGAATCATAAAGAGAAGCAAACTCATATCTATCAAAGCACGCTAATTTATTTATTTATGCATTTTTAGGTAGCGATAGTTGCGAAGTGCCGGCGCTGTGCCACGCGCTGCTGGGCCGGTGGGCGGCGGTGGTGGCGCACACGTTCAGTCTGCTGGTGCTGCTCGGAGCCAACGTCGTGTACTGGATACTTATCACCAACTTCTTATACTTCACTGTTAACTACTTTACAGGTAAACAGTACGTCTCATTATTAAGATATCAGTGGGCCACCAATGAATCACACTATATAACAGCTATTAAAGTTTTAAACGTTATATATTATCTAAGGTTTAAACATTTATTTCTGTTTAAACCTGCTATACTTATATTTATTCATCTGAAATTAAACTATAATAATAATAATATATTTGTATATTTATATCTCTGTATTTTGGATATTATTGAGTGCTACTTATATGTGTAAGTATATATTATCTTCCTAATTATATAAGTGTATGTCTATTTATCAAATATCTTATTCTGCCTTTACTTTAAACTTAATTTTGTAATACAAACCAAGCATATGGGATTCCTTTTCCAGACTTGAACTCTTCGAATGGAACGGAATACAATTCGACTCTGCTCTGTCCAAAAATGGACGGACTGAACGGTTCTCTGTTGATTCCGGTGGATATGAACCCGTCACCGTACTGGGGACTCCACACTACTGTGCCGGTGTACGTAGCCTTCATAGTGTTCCCGCTGCTCAACTTCAAAAATGTGTCCTTCTTCACTAAGTTTAACTCTTTAGGTAAGTAATTTATCTACTTAAACTCGAGGATATTGGCAATCTGCTATCTTTAGGCGATAAAATCTTACACTTGATTTCCATTGCTATCCATTCGCTGTTAGATGGAATATTGATCACTCCCCAAATGCAGAAAACTGTCATTTGATTTGAATGTGCTATTAAAGTCCTTACTGTTGGAGCTATGAACATATCTATCGATATAAGAACTGCAACCGCAACTAAGACCAACAATTCCAAAGCCAGCGGACGAGCTGCACTCGTGTTAACAAGTTTCTGGGTCACCTATCAAACCGAATATAACTTAATCTCCGCTATGCAGACCGAATGCTCCAACTACTGCGCCGTCGCACTCCTCAAATATTAGAACACTGTCATAACTGATTATTACGGTGCTACCGAACATACTCGTAAGATAGTATTTACTGCATTCTACAAACTAACACAATCCAGATTCTCCAACGCCGGCAGTTGCGTGCCCTATGGAAATACGATGTAAAAAATTGATGTACAGGTACTCTGTCCGTGTTGTACCTGGTGATCTTCGTGGTCGTGAAGGGTTGGTCGTGGGGCCCGCACTGGGAGGCCGCGGGGGCGGCGCGGGCGGGTGCGGGCGCGGGGGGGAACGCGGCGGTGCTCAGCGGCATGCTCGCGCTCTCATTCTACATACATAACATAATTATAACGATCATGGCCAACAACGACAGGCAGGACAGGAACGTGAGTGCGATATAACTGCACACAGCCAATTGTTATTCTTGTCTAAGACTGGGTTGGTCATTTGAGTAGATATGGTTTAAAATGACCAGATGCTTGGCCCAGTTTTATAATCATTCTAGCTTTGAAGTATGGGGTTGTAAAATTTGGATTATAAATAAGCAACAGTAAATGAGGGTAGTAGACCGATCTATGACTAGTACTCCGGTGTTGTAATTATCACCCGGTTTATGAATTGAGTATTTAAAGTTAAACACCTCTCAAACCGTACTTAAACGTCATTTGAACAAGTTTTCGTTGCAGATTTTAGTTTATTTATGTTTTAAAGAAAAGTAAAAAACTTAAATTATTGAGAATAATCAGTTGAGATTGTGCTTTTTTCAATTCAGGAATCGGCCGCAAATTGCCTTTAAAGACCTTTGTAAAGGCCTTTGACGCAACATACATTGGTACCGATGCAATTTTGATTCGTTTATCTTTACGATACCTTGAGAGATTTCCGTAAACACTAAAACTCAAATGAAAATATAGTTACGGATTGAAACTGATAACATGAGGTCTTCCATCGGGTTTTCCATCGAAATTAAATTATTCACCATCGCCAGAACTCAAGAAGCTCAAGAATAGGAATGAAATACTGCTATACCCAATCTCGACAGCTCATGTGCTGATATTTCTTCAGAAGAAGAAAGAAAGTAGGTAATTTTATTTTATTTTTCTTTCCCAGGGGCGAGATTTGACAATAGCATTTGTATTGGTGACGCTGACATATATGTTGGTGGGAGCTGGTTTCTATATATGTTTTCCTTTAGCCAAGGCATGCATTGAAGACGTAAGTGACACATTTATAATTCATAGTAATTTATAATTCACAGACGTAAGTGACACATTAATACCGAACAGGCTCTGCCAGAATGTCAGCGTTGATATGGCACTTCTTCGTCTCGAATCAACACCAGCCGAGAAAGAGTTCTGGTTGATCTCACTTTATTTCTTTTTATAGATATGTCATTATGTACCTTATTGTTTCTTTTTTTGTATCTTTTGTGTCTTTATGTGTTTCTAATAATGTACTGTGCTTGTTTGTGCCTTTGTGAGATCAATAAATATTTTTTCTTCTTCTTCTTCATAGTATATTATCCAATATAGGGTATTGTTATGCTTAGGTGTCTTTCCTTTGTTACAGAATATTTTAAACAACTTCGAAATGCATGATGTGATGACAGCTGTAGCAAGAATACTATTACTGTTTCAAGTGAGTTATACATTTTTATATCTAAAAGTGCACATTTTTGAATGTCTTATGAAATAGCAAAAAACTGGCTCAAGACCCCGGATTAGTAATAATACCGCTTAAAATGTTTCTAGATATTCCATTATTTACATCTTTGCATAGGTAGAAGTCATTTATTACTTAATAAACTTGTAAAGTCAACTTAAATGTGTCAGTTTTCTTTTAACTTTTTTATTTATAGGTGCTACTGCCGTAACGTTTGAATTTTTAGCAACGACTTGACTGTAACGAAAATTAACTTTTTAAAGCTTTATAAGTCACAAACGGTTTACTAAATCAAAAAAAGGCCTAACCGCACCCCCAATGGTTTTGAAACACCTATCCTGCGATGCCTCACACTATGGGAAGATGAAAAATAATCATCCCCACTTTAAATGTAGAGGAGATTCATAACCTATTTTTTTTTTTTTCAAAATTGATCTTTACCTCTTTGTCGGCGTAATTAACTCATGCCAAATTACAACTTGCTAGTACCAATAGTTTCTGAGCAAAACCTCGGACAGACAGACCGACATACGAAACTAGTTTAGTACGGATCCCTAAACATATAGGTATGCTATTAAGATAAAATTTACAAACGAAATAGTAAGCTTCTAGAAGAAATCTCAAACCAAGTTTTAACTCGCACAAATAAAATAATTAACTAGTTATTCACGCTCTCACTGATCATCACAGGTTGTAACTGTATATCCGCTGGTAGCGTTTATGTTGCGGTCAGAGGCTGTGTTATTACTGGACATCGGTTCTTCGCGCGCTCTCACTATAATCATCAACCTAGCAATAGTGACAGTCTGCATACTGTTCGCCTGCTTCTGTCCCAGCATAGGGACCATCATAAGGTACATTTTCAACTATTATTTTATAGAAAATATTTCTAATGTACTTAATAACGTCAGAAACAGTAGAATCGAGTCCTTATATATACTTGTACGATCAGTTGCAATCAAACACAAACTAGTCATTAAATGAGTTAATTACAAACGATCATAGACTAATGTAGTCACCTGCCAACTTCTTTGATTATACCTAGATAGTCTATAATCTATGAAAGTCTGCAAATATAGAAAAGTAGCTTGATTGTCTTGATCTCGTTAAGTAATATTGCAATTTCACATAATAATAACAATCACGTATAATATTACTATTCAATAACAATACTCATTTCCGCATCAATTCGTAAACTGCGTACTACCACACGTCTTCATCTTCCTTCGATTTTAGGTATTGAATTTTGAACTTTATCCCCAGGTACACAGGGGCGGTGAGCGGGTTGGTACACATTTTCGCGCTACCATCTCTCCTACAAATGCGTTCGTTACAACTGCGCGGGCGCCTCACGTGGTTTCAGGGGATATTTCATACTCTCATAGTGATATTCGGCGCGGTCAATTTATTGATGCAATTCTTCATAAAAGAATAATAACATCGCATTGACAGAATCCAGAATGGACGGTATAATTAAATAATGAAATATATCATGAAATAACTTGAGGGTTTCGGAAGATCAGAAGGCTTGCAAGTCGAAATAAAATTATCGGTGGTCCTTCAAATGAATGAAAACTCATTCTGATGGCAGTTGAAACATATCATAAATACAGGTATAAAACTCCACAACATATCCCTAATGTGGAGTGTGGAGGGGGCAGCCACAATAAAGGAACGCTATAGACGCGTGACCGCCTCACCTTAGTAGCTAGTTGCGAACTACCAAAATCCCACTTGAGCCCGATTTAAACCTGCGAATGTTTTCGGAGCTAAGATACATCATTAGAAGCAAATGTGAGCAAGAAGCAATTATAATAAAATACTGCAACTCCAATTTGTGTTTTTAACACAACAGTTTTGCTGGTCCTTCGAGCCGGATAACGATAATTACACATCTAGTCATAGATAGTTTATAATTATGTATACACGGAGGTAATTATATGTTTAGAATTAAGTAAAACAAAATGTAACTAATTATAATTTTATTTTGTAAATAAAAAAAAATAACAATAATAACCAAAAATAAATTCTGTGAAAAATCTCAAATATCAAAACCACAAACTTTATCAACATAGCGGAAATACTTAAGTATATATTTTATTAGCTGCAAGAGCGTTGTGTTATTACAACTTAAATCGAATGTTAGTAGCTTACATTACAAAAGTGCATATACAAATAAAATTATTTAAATATAACAAGTTTTTCATTTCCAGTTTAACAATGATAATATTTATAATGAACACAAAGTAACATATCAGATACTACCTAATATCTAAACTACAAACACTTTGGAACTTAAAGATCAAAAGATCGAACCTGTACTGACAGCATCCAGTTAAGACAAAATACCAATTGATTTTAAACTGTACTGTACTGTTAATAAGGTTTAAAACAATATTATTTACACTGAAGTTTAATTGTTACATATACACAATCCAGTTTTGGTTTCTATTACATTTAAAATAAGGTTGTATTTATTTTTAACATTCGAACACTTACAATTATCGTAAGACTTGAAAGTCATTATGTATAACATGTTTTCTGTGTTGTTACTCATAATTATGTGATAACAGTGGGAGCGTCACGGCCGGTATATTTTTGTAGCTGTGATATTTGTAAGGCCACCTCTATAAGCGGTCTCAACATTACTTGAGCGTCGCCTTGTACATCGGTCGCTTCATACGAATCTATATACAACCTGTAGAAACATTAACGGATTACATATGAATAAAAATAAACGATCAAGTGCGATTCGGACTCGCGGATCAACGTTATTGTACTATAAAAACACTAAAAAAAATTGTTGTACAGGAGGCGTCCTTAAACATTTATTTTATTTTAGTATTTGTTATGATAGCATAAAATTTCCCAAATAAATCACCAGACTTTCTTCTAAAATGAACACTATTTAAATAGTCTATAGTTTTCCCATAAGTAAACTTACGTTTTAGTATATATTATTGTATTTTTATATGTATATTTAGTATTTTAATGTTAAGTGTGTCTTTATATCTTTAAATGTCATGTATGTTTATTATTAATTTGTAGGTATAAATATTTCCTTTTCTTTTTCTTTTCGAACTTTTGCATTCTTTAATCGCCGTACATTTTTTTTTTTGCTTCTACGTCCTGTCTGTTAAGCTGGTAGTGAATGCCCTTAGCATTCAGTCCACCTTTTGCTCTTGCAATAAAGTTTTAAATAATGTATAAATAAAATGCTTGTTTTTCATTTGGTTATGGTCTTTAAAGATACAGCCAACCCTCATACTCTTAGTTACTCTATACCAAAATAATGACGCTTATACTCCCCAAGTTGACGAGCGTCTGACGCGAGACATAACGCACAATAGGAGAATATGATAAGTTCATGTTCGAAACTCACCTGACTGTAGCTCCGGAACTGCCGGTACCACTCAAACGTAACACTATGCGGGAACCGTCTTCGAATATAATGCGGAGTCCCTACAATACAATACAACGTCACATATTAAATTAACCAACGCCCATTCAAAACAAAACCTACGTTATCTAATAGGAGAATATCGGTCAGTATTTTCAGCGAGAGCAGCCCTGCGATTTTGTGATTTTTATACAATGGAATCAATAGAATTTCTTCACTAAATGACGCGACTTCGGAATAGGATTTTTGCAAAATCGCAGCGCAGATTTGATTTATTGAAATGTGACGTCACTGTTCAAAATGTCACGTGGCTGATTGGTTTCGCGGGACAATTTAAATTATTGAATAAAAAACAAGGTTTTCCTTTATTTTTTTATTATTATTAGTTTGATTCAATTAAGTATTATTAAATAAGAACATTTATTTAATATGATCATTAAAATTGTATCAATTCATTTAACAATATTTTAGCAGTTAAGGTTGTTATTATGTATTATTATAGTGACCGTCTCACCTGTTTCATGGAGACGCTCTGGTCGATGGGGTCCATGTATGAGAAGTTATCAGCGAGCTTCACCACGTAAGTTTTCCCGGCGGCGGAGTGCGATGACCCCACGAAGCCCGCCTCCGTGATCCTGCGCTCCAGGACTTGCATCATCTCGTTACACGGGTCGCTTGCACACTCCTCGTAATCGTACCTGTGAAGATACCAAGCAGGTTATGATACAATTGAAATTTCACTAAAAACATTAATTGAAAACATCAAAAAATGATTTTTTGGAACAAATCATTGTTTTTAAAAAAATAATAAAAAAAAATATTGTCACTTTTTAACTGTTTTAACTGTCAAGTTTATTTCCTAATTTAGTTTGTCATTATTATAAAATCCAACTCTATCAAATATACAAAAATCTAATCTGGCTAGATTCGTTAAATCCCTTATTTTAATATAACAGTTGGGACGAAACACTAACCTGGTAAAATAGTTCCTTCCAAACTTGGCCCAGTGGTCCATCAATATTTGTTCTACTGACTGAGCAGTGTTCGCAATTACTGAGAGCCAAGCGAGAGCGGCCCACATGCCGTCCTTCTCCCTCACGTGATCTGATCCAGTGCCGAAACTTTCCTCGCCACACAAAGACAGCCGTCCGGCGTCCATCAAATTACCGAAATATTTCCAACCTGTGCAGTGAAATAGAAGATTTGATGATTGCATGTTGTGAAAATCGACACTTAACTATCATTCACTTATGTTGTAATAAAAAACTCTCGCAAAAAATTCATAAAGTAGGAAACGCGATGGGCCTAATATTGATCCATGGGGCACACTCAACCCGACGCGGTAGGTGTTCCTGTAGACTTTGCTTCACCAATGACAACTTTTCGAACCTTGACAGACTTGGTGTACTATTGATAAAATCATAGTGCTCAAAATATTTTACAGTTTTTTTTATAGCTAACGTAGTCGAATGCCTTTGATAAATCATAAAAATCGGATAGTATCCTCACTACTTAAAAATAAATGTTTACGAAACAATTGATTTATTGAAATATTTATATTGATCAAAAGATATTTTGATAGTGACTTTGGTTTTTGATACTAGTAATAACTCACCAGTAGGCACTTCGAAGATTTCTTTTCCTACGGCAGCGGCGACTCTGTCTACGGCGGCGGCGGTGGGCATGCTACGGGCGAATCCTCTCACTCCCGTACTCTTGAAGTATGGGATGCAGTCCAGATGGTTGGCCAACACCGCCAGGGAGTCCGACGGAGTCACGAAGAATGCGCCGCGACCGATTATCATGTTGCGATCACCTAAATGGTCATCCACACTATACACAACCACATTCAATATACAGTATAAAATTTAAATTGGTGCACAATGTTTTGCAACGGTTTAGTATCGCATATCAATTTAAAAAAAATGCATATTCATATATACACAAACACTAACATTTATATTTATTAAGATTTTAATATGTAGTAAACCAATTGTGACCATAACAATAATCATTAATATCCAGGTTGTGTAGGATACACATAAGAAACAATATATATTACATATATAAAAATTGTTTCTTTTCTTCACCAATATTTCTCGTATGTGTGACACATACAAGCGTTTATGTCTAATGTTTCACTATTGTTATACTCTCCGTTATTCTCGGTAAATGTCAGAACACACAATAGAACGTTGCATTATACAAAACTGACAAATTTCTCTCTTGGTCTTAGATAGATAGATAGATAATTAATTTATTCTAAATGCAACACACAACCACATTATACAGAGAATAAAAATAAATAAAGACATTATAGAAAAGGTATTAACTACGAATAAGTCATGTACCTGTGTGTAGCAGAGAGAAAGGGTCTAGGCTCAGTGCATTGAAATCACCGAAATGTCGGTGAAGCTCTGATTTACAGCCATCACCCCAGCTGAGACGTGTCTTCTCACTCATTTTTAAATCTTAATACATTGTGGGTAGATTTCAAAATCTATTGAGGAAATTTTACATGTGGTGACCTGATGTTCAGCAGTGTGTACATCGTGTTTAGACTTTCACAACCTGACACTTCAAGTGTTCATTCTGACGTTTAAAGCTTCGTTCCCAGTATTCTGATTTTCAAAATCTTTTCAATGTCGTCGACTTCACTTACCGTCACCATCGAACGCGGCACCAAAGTCATAGTCCCCATTCTTGACAGCTTCAACGAGATCAGCCGCATACGTCAGGTTTGGGTCGGGATGCGCCCCACCGAAGTCCTCGAGGGGCACTACACGCCTCACGTTCTTCTCTGACGCGCCCAGTTCATCGACGAAAACGCGTTTCACATATGGACCGGTGACTGAAAGAAAACATAATAAAAATTCAAGTACATATGTTTGAAAATATAATAAATGATTCATGAGAGGTTGTTTGTCAAGTCTTAAACGTCAACTGAAGGATTCAGTAATAAATTATATGATTCAATCTAATAGATCTTACTATACAAATAAATATATACAGTGTTATTAATAAACAAGGTTTAGCGTTGGAGTAAAATTCGTATTATTAAACAGAAACTTAGCAAAGGTTAACCAAGGAAGAGGTTCTACGTAAGTATTATTTACTCCTAAAAGGTAGTAAGCAGGTTTGCTTATTCTCTGTATAGTATGAATTTGGACTAATACTAAAATTGCAATTTTAGCGTTAATTTACTCTGACGCTAAGCCTTGTTTATTAATAGCACTGATGGGATGATGAATCATTTTTGACTGCCTATCCATCAGGTAGGCTATTGTCTTCGATAATTTATTAATCACGGAAAAAAAATTTCTACGTAGTTGTGACAGCGAGCCCCCACTCCTCAACTTCAATGTCTATTATTTAAACCATTTCTTGTTAAATTGAACATAAAATATATGCATCTCATATTTTTCTATTATTAGTTTTTTTATCCTGGCTTCACCCTATTCTAGTATTTTATCTTTTTAGTCGCTCAAAAACTGACGTTGTGTAATGCCCTTAGCATAAAAATAGAACATTGTATCAATTACACCATAAGAGTACCACAGTAGATCAACTTTGTACGCTTGGTTTTACAGCAAAAAACACAAGATTGTCGGGATAACTTGCTTAAACAAAAAAACATTTATCGTTAAATATAAAACACTAGTATAAAATTACTGACGCGTCGTGCGAGGCAGCGTTTATTCAAACCTGGATATTTGCCTATCACTTAATATAAATCAATTGAATACAGTTGAAGATCACATGTGAGTTTATTGATTTGACGAACTCTGCAACCGAGTAGCTCACGCGCCGTTTTCAAGGTGTAGCCATCACTGGTCCAGGGTCCGAACCCCCGGTCGAGTCAGTGTAGAATGTCTCAGATCCAAGAGTTGCGGTATCTTCGTTGTTTCAGTTTGCTATACTACGAGTGCTTTAGCTCTTTATTTTGAGATCAGAGAAATATATGTGATTTTGTCCAACATTTATTTATTTATTATTCTGCCATTGTATTATTAACTACCATCTTTATATTGCATAATCACCTCCATTCATCGAATCAATAAGCACATTAAATGGTTTTCCTTGTGCACTGCCCTGAAGGAGAGATTTGATCTTGGGAAAATCGAAGATTTCCTTCATGTAGTCCACATAATCTTGCACAGAGTCGATGACCTCTACAGTGAATTGACGGTCTTCTACCTAATAAAAAAAAAATTGCAAACTGTTATCACTCAGATTGGTTACAACAAAATTAACATAATCATGTGTCATTAACAAATCGATGTCAATATTATGGAAGAATGGAAAAAAATAATAGCATTTGGTTGGTGTTAACACAAAACAAAGCAATACATTTGTTTAATAGCCATTAAGCAAATGCATTGTTTCTTAAAAATAGCAATCCTCTTCATAATAGACTTTACTGAGATTAGATAATAGATAATAGATGTTATTGAGATAACTTTGTAATTTATTTACAAAGAGATCACTTCACAATGCTATACTAGAAAATATTCTTAGTGAAAAATACTTAAAAAATCCACTTTGTCCCTGGCACTCTGAGACGGGATCCCATCTCAGAGTACCAATACTATAGAGTATGTAGACTGCAATACCATGTGAACTAAATTAATATACTGTGCTACTCTTATGTTCTTATTGACACAATGTTCAATTACTACTTTGTGATTTTCAAGAGGACAGAACATAATTTTTTGAGCAACTAAAAAAGATAAAAAAGGGTGAAGCCAGGGTAAAAACGTATTTAGTCTGTCAGTCAGATAATAGAAAAATATTAGATGCATATATTTTATGCTTCAGTTTAATAGGCATTGAAGTTGAGGAGTGGGAGCTCGCTACATGACAACTTCAGTTGATAAATACAGAAGAATATTTAATAATACAGAAGTTTTATATAAATTTTACTCTTCAATCACTCTGTATATTGATAAAAATATAGGAAGCAACTTTTTACTATGTATAGAAAAACAGATAAAAAATTATGTAGGACACTTACATTGAAAGTATGAACACCGATCTTGTCTATGGGGCAGGTTATATTATTGGCGATCTTGTACTGCTTAATGGTGGTAGTAAGTTTGTAAATGTCATTTGTAGTCGCATCTGGGGCAGGGCCACCATTACTGCAATTGAACTTAATGCCAAAGTCGTTGTCAATACCGCCCGGGTTATGAGATGCGGTCAACACTATGCCACCTGGTAAATAAATTTATTTATTTATTTATTATAAAATAATTACATGGGATGAATCTCAATTACATAATTATGAGTTAATTCAAACGGCTTTTGGTTTATCTACAAATACGTCCAAATGTGGGAGGTGAAATTAAGGGTATGTAGTGTTAAAATAGTAATATTAATATAAATAATAAAATCAACTATGAGTAACTAAGAGTACTATTACAATGGAACATTGGCCATCTTATTATAAAACATAGACATTAGTAACATTATCTGACACAATAAGTCAATAATGTTTCAATCTGATGTTTTGTCTTCAGTCATTGTCAATATGCTTTATGGAAATTAAATAATGACACAGGTCTGCGATGAAAAAGTTTTTTGAGAATTTTAAAGATAACTTGTACGTGTTGACGTACATAATGCAAATATAAACTTTTTTTATTGTAATGCATCACATTTTTTTTTATCAGTATATTATATTTATAATAAATTTTTCATGCACAGTCTAATTAATAACTTTTTTACGTCATTTGCAATATTTAACAAGTTATTCCTTGTCTTCAATTTTATTTTATTACAAAACCGATTACTCATGGACCTGAAATACCTATACCAATTCCTTCTAACAACAAGAGTTTCGATATACCCATATTTCAGAATTCAGAACATAGTCTTCTTTCTATCAGTAATGAGATTTTTAACCCTACAAATGATCCTCAACCATTCAGAGATCAAGAACTTAATGATTTGGTATAGGATCTTGGATTACCAAACAAATGCTGTTTTATATTATTTCTAACATAATTATAACAAATATGAACAGCTTATAATAAAATCTTTTCAAAAAAATAATATCGCAGACCTGTGTAATCAAACAATAGTTTAGTATTAACTTTTATGATTAATGTTTTAAATATTAATGTATACTTATAAATGTTAGTCTCAAAATGATTACAAGAAGTATATCAAAGGATATCAAATTCCATTTATTTACCTAAAGTTTTATATTTTCTGATGATACATGATACAGCAGGGGTGGAAAGAATCCCATTTTGTCCAACCAGCAACTTGGCAACCTACAGAAAGTAATTTATAATAATATATATTTGATGATGCATTTGAATTTGAAAACTTAAGAAATCCATTGAATACTCAACAATACCTAATTCATAAATTGTTTCTCAGTCAACATAAGTTTTATATAAACAACGATTAGATATTTATTTATTGTAGAAACCATTATACATTAGTTTTTTTTTGGAAAGGTATTGCCAGACTAGACTTTTATGACCTTCAGCTGTGACCAAATAAAACAGAATATAATTAACTGTATTTTAATGTACTAAAGATTTATACTCACTCCATTACCCGCAGATATTTTGATGATTTTATCAACGACCTCCTTCAGCAGATAGCGCCCGTCTCCGCCAACAACAAGTGTTGAGCCCACAATAGCATCTTTATTAGCATCTAATATACTTTGAATAAAGTTTTCCGTATAGTTTTCTTGAAGAAAAACTTTAACTTTTTTTCGCAAACCGCTTGTACCCGGCTTTTGACCCTCGTACGGAGTAGTGTTAACAATAACTACTCCGGACATTTTTATGAATGGACTTTAACTGCTTATTTTAATCAGAGAGCACCTTCCAGATTCTTATTTAACGAATAACGTGTATTATCTTAGATCAAAAGGTCACAACATTAATTTTATATTTTTATCAACTGTCAAACTACACGATACGAAGAGAAACGTCAGACCAATGTCATTCAAGGTCACAGTAAACGTTGCGTTCAGAATAATAAATCATTAGAACAGCTATACATAAGTCCGTGACAATGTTTGGTGTAGATTCCTACATAGAAAATATTCATATTTTACTATGATAGATTATCGATGAACTAGTATAGCGATGAACAAACAATATTTTTTATGGTTAATTTTTTATATATAGGATAGCTACATTTCAATACTTCAACACCTACAGGGAAAAACATCGTAACTCATTTATTTATTTATTAAGTTAGGACACAATACAGGCTATGTTCCGATATACACTGCGACCACTGAACAGTATGACGTCAATTTAGTATACTGGAAGCCCATTCCTTCATAGCTTGTTATACTGGTGACTTTTTAAAACGGAACGCAGTCCAGTATACTGTTAATCCTATTTTTTGGCGCCATTTTCAAATTTTTTGATGCAAGGTGAATATAAATATAAAGATTCCCCCTTTTCAAAAGAAAATTGGAAAATTGTATAAAAAAAAATATTTATCAATTAAATCAATCTTATAAATAAACGTAAGTATATATTTTTTTGTTTATTCAGTAACTTATCATTTTCTGATTCTGTTTCGACTGATCACGTGATCAAAAGCACTGCGAGCACCTTACCTCGAAATCTCCAGTGCTCACAGTACAAATATGGCGGCAATTTATGACGTCATAAATTTCCCTAGGGTACTGTAGCAGTGTACTGGCAGTCCATAACGGAACGGATTTTTCAGCAGTAAGACCACTGCGCAGTGCTCGCAGTGTATATCGGAACATACCCACAGTTCACAACGTTATGTATATGTCACAGCAGTGGCGTAACTACAGGGTGACAAGTCGGCAAAATGCCACGGGCCCCCAGCTGGAAGGGGCACCCTGACTCTGACATTTATTATTACGCAATTAGTAAAAAAAATATCCGATAAATTTGCTACGGGCCTCAAACGGTCACTGTGTCGCAGCCAACTGGTTAAAACAGCCGTTCAATTGGGCGGCTAGCCATTCAATATTCAAATTTTCTAATTTAGTCATCATTATACACTTGGACGTTAAACAAGACGGCTGATTTAAAAGGCGCCAAATCAAATTTTGGAAATTAAATGTATTTCAATGTCAAAGTTATTTAAAATATTGAAAATAGGATACCGCAATGACTTTCTCAATTTTACAAGTCAAGTAGATAGTGTAACGTCTCCAACAGGTCTATTCTCAAACTCAACCGACAACCTAAAGTCGTAATCACCTTAAAAAGTGAGCAAACCCAACGTGTCAAAGGGTATGTTCCGATATACACTGCGAGCACTGCGCAGTGGTCTTACTGCTGAAAAGTCCGTTCCGTTATGGACTGCCAGTACACTGCTACAGTACCCTAGGGAAATTTATGTCGTCATAAATTGCCGCCATATTTGTACTGTGAGAACTGGAGATTTTGAGGTAAGGTGCTCGCAGTGCTTTTGATCACGTGATCAGTCGAAACAGAATCAGAAAATGATAAGTTACTGAATAAACAAAAAAATATACACTTACGTTTATTTATAAGATTGATTTAATTGATAAATATTTTTTTTTAAACAATTTTTCAATTTTCTTTTGAAAAGATGGAATCTTTATATTTATATTCACCTTGCATCAAAAAATTTGAAAATGGCGCCAAAAAATAGGATTAACAGTATACTGGACTGCGTTCCGTTTTAAAAAGTCACCAGTATAACTAGCTATAAAGGAACGGGCTTCCAGTATACTAAATTGACGTCATACTATTCAGTGGTCGCAGTGTATATCGGAACATACCCAAAATCACAGTCTAATTCTATGAATTCTATCAATAGTCCGCAATTTGAAATGACAATATCGGCGATCTGCATAAATATCGGCGATCGATAAACTGTAATTTCGTATTCTATAAGTCGTTAGTGAAAATGAAAGCTCTTTGATCGAAATGCGTAGCTACAGATTTGGCCAGAGATAGAGTCGATTCGGTGCATTTCATAGCAAATGTAGATGTAGTGCCAAATATTGAGAATGCATTCGGCTCAACCGGCCGTCTTTACCCGGTGGTGCAAGGCGTGCGGTGCAACCGGACGCCTGTCGAGCGCTGAATAGTTAAATATTTCATGTAACTTAACGTCTTTACACCAGGCCCGTCTTTACCTATGGTGCAGGGGGCACCGATGACAGTCTAGTCTTGTAGTACCTACTAATCGATGACGTCGGTAATGCGCCCCAAAGTTGTAATTTTATTTCAATAATTTTTATATTTTCAACCGCTGACGCTGAATAACGAGTCTTAAAATATCTATTAATTTTTGTATTTTTAATATAAATATGTGTAAAAAAAATTTCAAAACCTTTTCCTTGTAATGGGGCGGGGGGCTGAGCAATTGCATCCGGACGCCTATTGTATTTAAGACGGATCATCTAATACCTACGCTAGACTTACTATAACACCTGACCCGCTTTCCATTCTTTAAAATCAATATCATTTATTTATTTAATTTAGGCTATTACAAGCACTTTTGAATATCAAAAGCTACTCCAACATCTCCCAAATCTACGACGGAAGACCTTTTAATGAGAAGAACCGGCAATAATCTCAACAAAGGCAACTTTTTGTCCCTATTTTATTCCATACAGAGAAGTCCAACTGGGAATTGACTTCGTTGGACTATGAAATCACTTTCATAGTCTTAAACGACCGTAAACGAAACTCTTTGTACCTAACCGAATTTGTTGTTGAAAACTCTTCTGATCGAAGTGAAAACTGCATTTTAAATTTCCGTTATGTAGATAGTTTAAAAGATCCCAGTGTACTTTGTACAGCGTACAGATTTGTTTTATGCTATGTGTAAAGGTGTATATGTTGAAGAAGTAATAAATACTAACAGAAGAGTTCGCGAACTATTTTGTAAAATAAAAAAAAAGACAGTCAACAGCTCATTATAATTTTATAAAGAAAATGCCAAACAATAAAATGCTACATTAATAACAATAAAAAAAGTATTTTCATACAATGAAAAAATAATAAACAATTTTTGATGATGATTCATTGTTAAGGAAAATACCGGAAACGCATAATGATATTTTCAATCGAGTGACAACAACAAGACAATGACAAAAAGCTTACAAACATAGAAATATATTTCGAGTACTTTCCAGTATGTATAACACTAGATTAAGCTAGATTCTTAATCACAAACAATTAAAAAGAAGACCGTCATCAAATCTGATGGGCAGAGATTATGTGTAAATAGATTGTTAAAATAAATCGCATAGTTTTTTCATATAGAAATAGAAAATTGTTGATCCAGTTTTGATTGCGTAGGCTACATCTCTACACTTTCAATTAAACTAACTTGAAAAATCCGTTTCCCATCCAGAGTTTATAGGTATGTCAAGACTTAGAATAATAGTTTAACATTTTATTTTACTTTACACGCCATAACAGCGCCTCCAAACTCCTTCTCGAGATATTTAGCGACTGTCAGACAAACAGCATCATTGTGTGGCGCTGCAAGTACCTGAATCCCTACTGGTATATTCTTGCTGTTCACACCTATGGGCACCTGAGAAAATATTTTTTTAATCAATGCCACATTATCAAAGTTTGTACCAGGGCACAACAGTTAAGCCTCAGAACTAACGCTTAAAAGTGGTAAATAATATCAACAGATTGTTACTGAGACATTTCGTATTGTAGGAAATTGGTAATCCTTACAAAAGGATTCTTATGTTAAAAAAGCTACATTAAGAAACGGTAAATTTATATTTTCACACTTTTCAAAGTATTTTTTAAACTCTCATGTCTCTCTTCATTTGGGGTGCGTTCATCTAAACTCTGATGTCTCTCTTTCTTTTGGGGTACTACCGCATAACTTTCTATTCAAAACCAGCCATAGGATACGACACCATAGCGATGTTATGGCGATATTTCCTTTAATTTTGTTTTGATTAAGTTTTATGCTCTCATTGTTTATCATATTTTCGTTATTAAAGTACACGTCGAAGTAGTAAAATGTCATAATATTCGCTAACATGTCGTATTATAAGGCAAGTGTTAAACGGTCGCACCCCTGGTTATAAATCACCTCTACAATTGAAGCTTTGATGTTAAGTTCAAATTATATTCTACGATACTGTAAAAATCCAAACCCGAATTCGAATTCACTTCAAAATGCGGCATCCGCTCAACCTCGAATTTGTAATAACGTTTCGTAGGCATAAGTGATGTGAGTTTCGAAATGACATAGGAATAGAATATCTGAGACAGGTATATTTAATCAATTTTATTTTGTAAAAAATGGTATCAATAGAATTTTCTACACTATATGACGTGAATGACTGAATTCGGATTCGTATTTTTACAGCAGCTGCAGCTGCTTTAAACTAACCTGAACCGCTGGACATTTGAGTACATTGCTCACAGCGAATGCGCCGAAATTGTAGGGATTGATGTACGTGTAGTAGTGGTACGGACAGGGCAGGGGGCTGCTGGGCAACAGCAACACGCCGTTGTCGCCCAGTTTAGACTGAACATGACATAACTCAACGTAAGATTATATGTATGCATTTACAAATACTTAAAAAAAATATAGAACTGACTTTAAACTTTAAAAAAGTGATAAATAATACTTATATCAAAAGCAACACATTCAAAAAAGAGAACTTCGCCCTTCTGTAGCTTTATTAATTAAACGATAGGTGCCCTCAATAGCATTTTCTTTTATAAGTCGCTTTTGAGATAAGTGTTATTTATCACTTTTTTAAAGTTTGAAATCAGTTCTATTTTTTCAAAAAGTTTTTATTTCATGCTTTTTAGTGATATAAAATTTTTATATAACAAGTAACACAAAAAATATTAAAAACTAGCTTTCCACCAGCTGCTTCGCCCGCGTAGTCCCCAGGGAGCTGTTTATTTGCATATCGACTTATATCATGACACAATGACACGGATATAATTACAATGATAAATTGCATAGTAAATAATGGTTAATAGAAACGTTTTCATTCCCTATACAATTTTCCACTCCAATTTTCATCCCTTTATTTGCTGTTTTTCGGAATAAAATATAGCCAATGTTCACCGCATATAATGTAGCTTCCTGTAGCTGAAAGAATTTTTAACCCTTTACCGCATATGGGCCCATATATGGTATTGAAGTTTTAATTAATTTTTATTTCCAAACTAAGTATTATAAAACAATTCAAACTATTTTAATTCATTAAATATATATTTAGCAATAATAAAACGCAAAAATATTGTCTATGGTTTGATGACATTTCGAAATAACCTCACTTTTAAGCAAGTGGGCGAAAAAGCAGAATCGAAGTGCGAGTTGTTCATTTTCAAAAAACTATAACAGAGTAATACGTAAGTACTTTTTGATAAAAAAAATATTTTCATGGAGTCGATATATGTATCTTTCTCGACGAATGATAATCTTTCCGATTTTCAATTGTTTTTTATACTTTACAGCTAGTTTTTTTTCGATTCCATATTTGGTCTCGTATGCACTAAGAAATTTTTTTTCTAGGACAAATATGGAATCGCATGCGCTCAAGCAAATTAGCATTTAAAGTTTTATTTATTTATAACAGCTAAAATTTTATACATATTACACATTTTTATACATTTTATTTATTTATTATGCTTTGCTTGCTTCAAAAATTTGCCTTTTCTCTTGCTTGCAGAATGGACCCAGCGCGTTTTTACGGATAAAACCTTCATACTAATTTCATTCCTGGTGATGGCATGCTAAGTGATGATGATGATTTAGATTCCGAAAGCGATGTTCCCTCAATGCCTGTCCCATTCAGATCAAATCTTGGAACACCTATATCTAAATAGACAAGAAAAATCCCAGAAAAACATCAAGAGCTTCCCTAAACTCTGTAAGGACGGACAGTATAGGTCATTGGCCTGAATGGCAGAAGAATCGTCAGCATTGTCAAGTATGCTCAATGAAAACTTATACTAAATGCTCCAAGTGTAAAGTTTTTTTATGCTATAATGAAAAAGGAAACTGTTTCTTTCAATTTTTAATATAATTAATATAATTATATTGTTATTATTTTTTCTATATTCTATAAATTATTTGTTTTGCTGCATACAATACCATATGTGTCTGTAATGGTTTTTGTCTCAATGCATACGAGCCCATATATGGTTCCGTAAAAAAAATCCAAAATATAAAACTTTTTCAAAATTTCTTTCTCAATATGTCTTATTGATGATTAAATAAAGCTATTTCCACAATGAAATATTTTTTTTTTCAACGCTATAATAAATCATGCAGTAAAGGGTTAAAATCGGTCCGGTAGTTTCGGAGCCTACTTATACGTTGCAAACAAACAACCAAAGCTACTATTTTGTACATTGCAAAATCTAAAATATGTAGTGACATCATCGATAAAGAAATGTATTTATACTCACAAATAAGTCATCTTTTAGAGATTGTGTAAGTGTTTCTGCCCACTCGGCGTTGACGGCGGGCAAGAGCTGATCACCGCATAGGCGCATAACGAGATACAGACTGTGTTTACTGAACCCGAGGAACTGATAACAGAAGCATAACAAAAATACAGTATTTTAGGTTTCAACAATTCCAAGGAGGTCTCTCCTCAGATAACCGATATTTATGATGCGAGGAGAGCGTATGGCAATCCGTCTAAAGCACAGATAAATCTACATACTAAAGCTATAGATAAATGTATATACTACTACGGAATTTTTTTTAGCATTTCGATATTTCCAGTTATTTCTGGGCGAACCTTCTTGTTTTTGATTTTAAAGGTATAAATTAAGTTACTGTATAAAAGGAATTGTGAAGAAATCCATTCAATATATTTACGGTTATAGTAATTGATTGTGCAAAGTCTGTCCGTGGTCACGACTCTCTACGTCATCGAGAAGATTCATCAAGACGCAAACCATTGACGCACGGAGAAAAAAAATACCATAACTACGGTATTTTTTAATGCCAAGATCAAATAAAATATTACTTTACTCCTAACAGATTGAAATCAAATGTCAATCAATGCAACGCAGCATACAATACAATTTTAAACTCTAAAAGGATTTAAACTTAAAAGAAAGTTGTTCGTTAAATTATATGTCTTCTTACTTTTTTCACCATTTCCCATAACATGTTCGGTTTGCCCTTCCCATCAGTGTACATGTTGAAGTAGTCCTCGGGTTCTTTGCTCATCCAATGCTTCCATACATTGATGATGTTGTCAAAGCACTTGTGGTAGTAAGGCAGTGGTTTATTTTCACTGGGTAAAATCTGTCCCAATTTCAGAATAACCCTGTAAAGTACGAGTAATTTGGATATATTTTATACTATAATATGAGAATAGCTTCTAATCCCATCCGCATTGGGCCAGCGTGAAGCTCCATTAACCATCCATAAGGAAGGCCTTATCCCCTACAGTGGAGACGTAAAAGGGCTGATTTTGATGTGTTTATGAGAATTGAATTCTATGATAATATTGAAATTGTCTTTATTTCATTCAGTTTCAAATGGTGCTATTTCTAGACGCGTAAGTTTACAGTACAGTTAGCATATATCTTCACATCTTTATCACTGTTTTTGACATGAAACACAACCTTGATTGTTCAAATTCCCACAGAAATATGACAATTCACAATTATATCACGAAGTCTAACTTAAGTAGAGTACCTGCAAAAGTGTTACCACTACTTCAAATAAAATTGCACCCACCTATTCATGACGTCTTTTAGTTCCGCATTCGGTGAACTCATCCATATATCGTTGATCGAGGACGTGAAGAACACTTTTATATCCTAAAACGAAAAGTCGAAGTTGTGACTAACGAAGGTTACCAAGGTTCTAGACTGTAGCGTAACGTGACTCAAATCCTGAACGTGGGCGAACTCGCATCAGCGAAACCTCTTTCATTTCAAATCTGCTCCAGAAAATTTTACAATGAAGTCTGTTTTAACCTAGGTATACACATTGTAATTATGTGCTATTATGATCACATTGTTTCTATATATTTATCGTATATCGTCGATCGCACAGCAGTGGCCTTTGAAGGTAATTGAGGTCACGCGATACCACTTTTAGTGCGAGGATGCGATTGACCGTATCCTCCACTGAGATACAGCTGCGTCGCTAATTAGAGAACAGCTTATTATTTTGCCATCAAATTAATATTCAGTCTGAAGTTATTAAGACTAAAGTAAAGTGGATGAAAGTGGAAATACTGGGATACCAACCTTTATATCTACTTCTCGATCGAGTCGTAACAAATGAGCCTTGTCGCCGGCGATGACCTTCATTAGTGGCGCCTGATCCTCCATATGCTTCGAAATGAAGCCGAAACAAAGCATACTGGAGGGCTCCTGTCCGTTTCGTGAGAAAATTCCTGGAATCAAAGCAATTATAAAATTGCTTACTTAATAAAATTACTTAACAATGCATTCAAAGATATAATTTGTTTATCGCTTAAAATATTTGTGTATTGTGTAAACTAACCTTTCAAATTAACGACGTCAGCTGTGGGATTGTAACCGAACATCCCGCAGTAGAATGACGGTATTCTAGTAGAACCGGCAATATCTGAACCTGTTATAAATGGAAATAATTCTAGGTATAACATTTATTTGAATTTTTTTGCAAACGTAAACAAGACTAAATGTAATTTAAAAAAATGCGTTTTTTGAAATATCTACGTTGACGAAGAAACATCGACCGCGAATTGAAATCATATACCATTTGGTGATCTTACTGAGTCCAATAACTGTGCTATAAGTGGCCATGAGAGCGGCCTCAGCCCCGCTGGACCCTCCAGCTGTCCTGCCAGTGTGGTGAGGATTTTTCGTCGCACCATGAACTGGATTCCTAGCCTCAGACCTAGAGCATAATTTATTTTAGCACCTCAAACGAGCCCGTTACACAAGTCTATACTAACTGTAACAAGAATTCTAACACTGTAATGATTTTATTAGCATAGCCAACAATGCCTCCTACTTCAAAAATTAACATGATACTTGAAGGCCTATTCTATTTCAGCGAAAACGAAATTTTGTCTATTTTTGAAATGCTACTATGACTCCAAAGAAACGAATTATTCGATAAATTTATAATGCAACGGCGGTAGGACCTGACACTTTCTCTGATGCACAGAAAATGTTCACGGATAAAAGATAAAGATAGTTATAAAAACGAACTGAAAATAGAATAGGCCTCAGGTGTAATTTTAATTCGCGCGTGTTATAGTAGCAATAATTAAAAACAAATTAGTAAATAATAAAACGGATAATAACTCATGATCTTTATCCACTTAAATGATTTTACATAGTAATTTTATCAAATTTATTACAAAAGATTATGAATGGTTACCAATCATCCACCATTAATGTTTTATCAAGAATCCCACTGCGATGATCAAATCTAATCGCAATGGGGTTCTTGATGACACAATGATAGTTATCATTAATGTGTTATCTAGAATACCCCAGGGATCGATTATGGGGCCATTATTATTACTCGTACTTGATCTGTTGTTGATAAGCACTGTTTCTTTAAATCACATTTTCAAACTTATGCAGGTGACTTAAAAATATTTATAGATTAACCAAACACATATGTCAATTGCATGTACCATGTCGCAACCAAGAAGTTCTGAATAGACTTTTAATATATTAGTTTGACAGCAAACAAACTACATTATTTATATCTATATTAATCCATATAAATAATCCAATAACAAAAAAATGCGCTTGTATAAAGAATATTCATTCTATTTACTTCTCCGTAATCAGTAGAACCATATTAGACAATAAGTTAGTATAGCTAAATACACTTTTGTGTAATTTTTTATTAGCGTTTGTCCACTTCTATAAAAATGTCGATACAGCTGTTGTCGATTTTTAAATTTATAAATTTGCCATGGTGTCTAATAGAACAACGGTTGTTTTGTTATGGACTAACAATTCGTATTATTTTTACCATATTAGCAATTCAGGGAGGTTGGTGACGGCGAGAGGTATTGCCCCCGCATTCCTTAGTCTGGCCACCGCCTCACAGTCTTCCTCGGCTCGCTTGTTCTTCCATAACCAGAGACCATACGTTACAGACAATCCTTTCACGGGCTGCGACTCTTTCGTGGTGAATGGAACACCTGAAAATCCAATATTAGTGTGTAAAATGAATTAGTTGTATATTGTTCTTGAGAATTAAGATAATCATATTTTAATAACATCCTTATACCTATCATCATCATGGTTTAATGGCCCAAGTATTGGTTCACATAGACCTTTCATTAAACAGAACTATATCAAAAAGAAACGCTCACATCATAACCAAACAGTGGACCCAGTGCGATTTTATGGATTTTAATAGCGGTGAAGCAGCATGGATGGTCTCGGTAGTAATTTTCTGGTCCAATTCTCGAAAGTTGCTCAGTTTAAAATCAAACATCTACTACACCACTCTTTCCTTGACTTGTCATATTTAATATACCAAATTAATCAACCTTCATAAATGTTAAATAATCTACTGACCCAAAAATGGTTTCGTTTTCTCGAGATCGGTGACCCCGGTAGCTAGAAGGCTGTCTACTGCTCTTGCTTCAGCTAGTGCTTGCTCGTACCTGTTGTCGACCACAGCATTGATAATGGGATTCACCTGCAATAGAGACACAAAAACCTTCACATCTGCCCTACTACGGATACGGCTTGAGCTACGCATACATCTGGAAGCCGTTATCTCTTTCTCCGTCGCCCTACCCTTTTTTGACGCTCAGAACCGCCTTATGCTAGAGCGAGAAAAACAGCACTCAGCGAAATCCTCTAGATTTTTTCAGAAACACGAAAAAGCATTTCAAGATTAAGTAATTGTTAATGTTCCTTTACTGCGACTGATCTTTAGCGGACTTCAAAATGGAAAATGTATCTTCGACGGCGATGTATATGTTTTTGTAAGTATATTCACCGATATTTTCGTGAATTGTTTACCGATTTTCAAAATTCTTTTTTTATTCGACATCTTGATTAATCGAAGTGATCCCATTTAAATTTTATTGAAATCCTTTCATAATAAAACAAAATACGCCGTCCATCATGTTATGACATGGCCCATTTCAACTAAAAAACAAAAGATTCCTTATTAATAATTTATTCAAAATCTGAAAGAAAGACTTTCTAAGGTCAACGAGTATGTATACTTTACTGTTTTCCCGTAGATGAAAGACTTTTATAAATCAGTCCAAGAGTTTCGAGGCCTACCCAACTAACAATTTAGCGTTTAGACAAGCTTTAGTAGACCTGTATTTTAGTTCTGGTTAGACATTAAAGAGTTAGCGTATATCTTATAAGAGAGTTATACGAGTGTAATAACACCTTTATAACCTGGATTTTGGCCCAAAATTATACAGGTAAAGACTGTATAAACCCCTTATAGTGGGTTCTACATAACTCTTAGTAGAAGTGTATTAGTGGTGTTATAAGATCATTATTTTCCGTCTAATTTTTTTTTTCATCTGTATAATAGAGTTTACTGAGATCTCAAGTTTTATAAGGTACTTATATCGGTGTCAAACAGAACTTAAACCGTTATTCAGATACCTTATAACTCATTTGTAGCGATTTTTGTGTCAAAGTTTAGCTAGTTAGCATTAAATTCATCGAGTGTTAAAGTTATCATAATATGACAAGTGCTTCAGTACCACAATATAACAAGACTATATTTCATCACGAAATGTAAGCCTTAAATAAAGCCTTAATTTTTTTTTTTAACCGTGTGCTAAGTGTTCCTAAAGCTAATTTAAAATATGTGAATGTGTATGGTGTTACTCATCTCAATTTTGCCACGCCCGCAAAAATATATGATTTTAAGTAAAAAATCAAGAAAACAATTAAAAGTTCTAATAACCTAAAATAGTTTTTAGACTGTAATTTTCAAAGGTTGATCAGTTTTAGTCTTTGTATACATTAATAAAGTCATAATCAAGTCAATAATCGGGTAAATTTTGGTACTTAGATTTTAAATAAGTGAATTTGCATTAATTAACATTTGAGGTTATCTTGACAGAAAGTGATCAAAAGTGGTGTCTTTTTCTTAAAGGTCTTCGTTCAAGTATAATACTACACTCGAATAACGACAACGGCAGTATTCAAGAGTGTTGTAAGGTCTTTGGTGATTTATGCACTATGCACTTAGCAAAGTCATTTACCTACTGTGGAGGGTAAAATAACGCTTTCAGATTTACCTTTAAACATCGAGATTGGGGTTCTATAGGAAGTTATTGAAATTAATAGTAAAATTTCATCAAATTCAGCCAGAGTGGAGATGAACGTTGTCGTGTCCCGCCCCTTTGCGCCCGTTACACCTCAGCTCCGGCGCACGAGAGGACGACGCTGTGCTACTACTATATATTTGTAGTTTATATCGTAATAAAGTAATTTTTGAATAAAAAATACTGAATTAATAATAAATATTCTTATTACCTAATCTTCCTATACTGTTTATGGAGTGACAGAAAATACAATTTAGTAAATATTATTGTGGGTTACATTAACTAATTTGCAATTAATTTCACTTGTAACGAATAAGAGAGTTATTCAATTTTATACATATTTAAATAAGACGATTTAATGGGAGTTTCAAATATAACATCTTTATTGATTTATTTTTATAATGGCGTCAACAAAATGGTGCATCCGTGACAGAGAAATTGTGCTATCAAAACTTTCATTTAAAATTAAGGCACACAGGGAAAGATAATAGACCATTTTTTTAAGTTTTTCCCTTAGTATAATATTTTTTGTTAATAAATCAGAATTATCATTTTCTTCGTCCGAGCTACTATCAGAATAAAAATACCAAAATCGAAAAATCTTTATCAAAGTCTTCTTCATCAAAATTTTGTACGGAACCGTTCTTATATTCTACTAACGTGAAATTCACACAATTATATACACATAGTGTTAGAGATATATCACTTAAGTTGACAGCCTTTTGATTTATAAGGGTCGCCAATATAGAATATTTACACAAAAAGAGATACAGTGAGTTCATGAAGATCTTTAAAATGCTTTTTCACGTTGCAGGCCGTAACAAGCTTTAACGTCATAAGTATATAAGCAGCCACCGCTACTGCAATAACTGTATATAAATTGTAATTGCGTTATTTACGAAGGTTATATTATAAGTAAACTGCACCACCTCTAGTGACAACCGAATCCATTATAAATCAATAGTATTACTCTAAGCTTTAGAAGAACCAGCAACCAGCGAGCGCCTAATTGTTTGTTGGGTATCCAATGCAAACAAACAAAGCAATCAAATCTTTTCTTTTTAATATATGAATATAGATTATTGGAAGAAAATATTTACGAGTACGAGTATACAAAATCTTCTGTTCTAAGACTTTCATTATGTTAAACGTTTCTATTTAGTGTTGCCTGAAATAAAAACTTTTTACGAAAAATGAGACGATTTCAAACTTTAAAAAAGTGATAAATAATACTTATCTCAAAAGCGACTTATACAAGAAAAAAATCCGACTGCGTAAAAACGAATTTTAAAAAATACATGAAAAAATTAACTTAAATAAAAATTAAAAAGAAAGAAACAAGCCCAGTAGTTTAGAATTCTTTTCAATAATACTAAATAACTACACAATTGAAATAGTTTTATAATCGATACACACATAAAACAAATCATAAATTCTGATGCAGAACAGAACGGCTCACAGTCGGGGCCCCTTGGGAAGTGGTACAATTTGAATGAAAATAGTTTTTTTTAATTTTGACATTATGGCGTCTGGTTGTCGGTGTGGTGAATTTTGATTACTGTCATGTCTTTAGTGACACTCGCAAGGTTAAGACGAATCGATTGACGTAAGAATCATCAAAATCGGCCTACGCATTTGGTCTCTAGAACGCCACATAGATACAAACATACATACATAGACTGATAAACACATTACCCTTCTTTGCGTCGCGCAGTCGGTTAAAAATGCTATGAGTCGGGCGGTTTTATAGGCGTCCGACTTCAACAGCATTTTCTTGAATAAGTCGCTTTTGAGTATTATTTGATTATATTTGATCCATTGTTTTCTCGGTCGCGGTCGCCCAGATTTCGAAAGGTCCTGGGTTCGAGTCCTATCTCAGACTGCCAGATACAAAGTAGATTTTTTAAGCATTTTTCATTAAGAATATCTTTCTTTAAAGCATTGTGAATGCGAAACTGATCAAATGTAACAATAAGAACGAATTTTCATCTTTATCGAAAGTTTAAATATTTGTAAAGATATTTCTTTCGGCTGTTTGGGTGAATGCCTAAACATCGATAGAAATACGCTCTGTAGTAGCGAAAAGTAACAAGTGCTTGAAAAATTCGTCAGTCCTGTTGGGTCCTGGGTAGCTCAGCGGTTAAAGTATTGCGAAAGGTCATGGGGTTCGAGTTTTTAAAGTTTGAAGTCGGTTCTAACTGTTATAAAAAAATGTATTAATAAACTTTGTTTTGTACAATAATGTGAAGCGCCTGATATGAAAAGTCAAGGCTTATTTCTTTTTTGTTGAGAATTAGGTCCACCTACATGCGAATAAAAACCTTCAGATAATAGCAAATATTTATTTATTTCGTTTTTTCGTTATAATGAAAAACTATAGGACACGCATTTTGTCGTGTTATAATTATAATTGCAATTTAAAAATAGATTTAAATTTTATTTCGAACACCCTTCTCAAAAGTGTTTGTATTTCTTCCATTTCCCTAACACCGTCTGATAAACCAACAGCTACACAATTTTTGTTTTACCTTCGTTAGGGCGCTTGTGCACTACACTGAATTTTCATGTCCGGCGGTCCGATTTTTTCAGGTCCGATATGTCAGGCCATATGTAGGTAATGCGCGCTTGTGCACTGTCAGGAATTTTACCGTCCGGAATTTTACTTTTCTCTATTCCGGACCGGTTTTTTCAGGTCCGTGATGGCGGCAATGAAAAACGTGTTTACGCTTGTGCACTGCTGCGTCCGACCTCCGGAAAATTCATAAGGAATAGGCTTGGGAAAAAATAATCGATTTGAATCGATATTTATTTCGGCAATATTGTTAATTTCCAATAAACTTATAATCGATATTTATTGTTGATTATAAAATGCTATATTTTATATGATGATTTAATATAGTTGGTATATATCACTGCATATGCTTTGGCATATGCTCGGTATAGTTCTAATTTGATCAGCGTATGGTTCTAGTATCGATACTTAGCTAGATTTTAGAATCGTATTAAAAGTATCGATAGCTTAAGGTAAGATAAATAAGTGTTGTTACGCTTAGACGCCTAAACAACTGAACTCATCTAAATGGAAATTAATATAGTAAATAGACTTAACTTTAAGAAAGGACATAGGCTACATTTTATCGCGAAAAATAGGGGATGAAAGTTTGCCTGGAAATTTGTCATTATCAGTTTTTTTAGACAATTGATAAATATAGATAAATATTTGACAACAGAAGTAATAATAAAGAATAAACAGAAGATTAACAAAAGTAATTAAGTGACACTCAATGTCTTCTTCGCATTTAATAAAATTTTAAATGTATGTTTGTGTCATTAATGAATTTAATAAAATAAGTATTCCAAGGGAATAATATTTCTACTCAAAGAAACTACACTACGCGTATAAAATTATGCCTGTATATAATATAGTCAACTGATCTCTTAAAGTTCATTTAGCATAATAATTCTCCGCTAACACGGCACTAATTTCGATTTGTTTACGAAATGGCGCCACCGATTGGTCAATATCTGTAATCGCTGAAAGTTGTTTTTACAAAACTTCGAAAAAAAAATAGCACGTTTAAAAATTTAAATATCAAGTACTAGACCATTATCAGTAATTTTATTCTAATGTCACATATATTTTTAACTATTGTATGTGAATAATGCTGTTCCTAAATTAGTAAAGGTATAAGTTTTTACATCTGATAGTAGTAGAAGAGAAAAATGGGTCATTCGTCTTGCCATAATTTATTATGATTTATGTAAAACGATCAGATCATTATTTAGGTACCTTTCTACGTCTTCGAACCGAATTACCGACATACCAAAAATCTCATCGTACATAGCGTAAGTGACGTGTAGCTTCAAAGAGAGCTGCCCTACACTGCGCCGCTCCGATCAGGAAAAAAACGGACAAGTGCACAAGCTACTCATCCGAGTTTTTCATGTCATTCCGGACCGGAAAAAATCGGACCGCCGGACCTGAAAATTCAGTGTAGTGCACAAGCGCCCTTACTATCCAGTTAACACGCTCCATTCTAATTTATACATTTTGTACTTTTTGATTTTACGAAAATCCGCATTATTTTACGCAAAAAAATAAAACTTTCTTTACCTGCTTTATCCTTTCAATAACGGCTTGCACCAATTCTTCAGACTTTAGTTCTCTGTTCCTAATCTTCTTGGCCAGTGTCACAGCACTTTCAGAAAGGAAGGCGTGCTTTGCCTCTAGGTCGGGGATCATCTCTTTCTTACGCTCCCAATAAAGCGAGAAGAGAAAATCGAATACCACCTCATAAATAGATCTTATAAATCTCACTATTGATGATAACACGTTGCACATTTTTACTTTGATAATGTCCGTAAGTCAAAGAATATACACACCTGTGTGGTAATGGAAATTGGAGATTGTTTCAAGTTAAAGTAATTTACTCAATGCGTTGCAGCCCAAAATACACGATTTAATTCTAGAAACCGTTTAAATGTTTAAAAAACATAGATAAAAAGAATCGCGTAGAGTAAGAGTACTTAATGTATTTACTTTATTGTCATAACTTCATCCATTTATTAAAGTTCGATACCCTTCCCATGCGTACTCGTATAATTACATATTTAATAATACTGAGTAGATCAACATAAAAAAGCCTATGGCAAAGCCTGGTTACGGCATTACCATACCTATCTTACTAATGTCATGAGAATGTATGTATGTTTGTTATTCTTACACGCAAAAATTACTACGGATAATTCTAAGCCTGAATTATAGGTATAAATTTATTGTCAAGTCATCGCGAAGGCACTAGCGAAGAGCTAGCTAGGTACTATTTAAATTTTACTGGAGCCGAATGAAGCATCAGATACCTAGTCCGCTATTATATGCAAATTGGTAGGTATTTCTTAAGTCCTCGTAATTACTGTAAAATTCAATGTAATAGTGCATTGGTGCAAGATGTCCTTCGACACTTTTGGGTCCAATAACCACCACTTATTGCCAATTCATACGCTCTGTGGTGCATGACAGGTTCGTGCCTCAAATGCGTCAAGTCGTAATGTTAATATGATGGGGCGCTGACCTCTTTAGCTCATTTTAGTTGGTAATTGGTATATTATAAAGGCAACTCGTGTTAGGTAACCGTTGAATTAAGAACGAATATTAAGGTAACAGGAATGTCATGTGTTTTTTTATTCCTCTTTAATTTTGACAGTATGAGAAAACTAGTAGTAGGAAAAAGATTATAAATATTATCGTCACCGTCGAATTGTAAGTGGAGAACTTATACCTCTAATGTTACTGTGAAACCCGAAGTTCGGTGAATCTTAATATTTTCCTGTAAGCGTAAGATTTACCAATGTATAATAAATAGTAAATGTTCAAACTGTTCTGTGATTGTTATTTATTTTACCACCATGCTCATACTCGGTAAATATTATGTTTCACCTCAGGGACATGGTAAATGTTGATAGATAAATCCAAACATACAACAAGGAGATGCGTTTTTCTGTGCAATAAATAATTAAGCCGGTTAGGTTAGTGTGGTGTTTTTGATAAATATAACCACAGAAATAAATCTTTCTGTGAATATAACCCATTAGCTATTTTCCCGCGGCTATTATAGCCTATATCAACCTCGTAAGATGTAGCTACCCTAAGCCTGAGCCTATTTAAGCCTATTTAATGCAAACAATCAAATATTTCCTTTTTATAATAATAATACCTATAGATATTAAAAATAATTACAAAAAATATCAACATAATGATAAAAAGTTGTACGTGAGACATTGAGTGATAGCAAATTGAAATTTAAAATTATTTAATAAAGAATAAGAAATAGTTATTGTTTTTTGTTTTCAATACTAACTTTATCAAGTGTTGGTTGAACTTCGGCTATTTTTAAACGATAAAAGTCTCTTGTTTTCATATTTTTATTTACATTTACCGTGTTGGTAAATCCCAAGGTTTATTAGTAAAACTTAGAATTTACCAATATACCTACGGGCTTTTACAGTTACATATACCTAAAAGGTCTCCAAGTAGTTGTTCTTAACCCATGTTTTGAATTCGTCTCCGTCTTTGAAGTACTGTAATTTTGTGGTTTTGCCTACATACCAGCGATTGTCTGCGACGATTTCGACATGGTGAGTGAGGGCTGGTAAGGGTCGAATCTCTTTCTGTATTCTGTGATTTTATACAATCTATATCTCTAAGCTTTACTTGACACTTTCTAGTAATTTAAGAGGAATATACCAAATTACTGGCTTAAATAAATTATATCTCTAGCGCAGTAAAATAAGTGGCTGTTGCAAACCATCATTAATATACATAGCTATTTTGCTTTCCTATGATTTTAACATCAAATTTGTCCTCTCTTGAAATATATATATATTTTGTTTCGATAAATATAAATAGTTAGGGCGATCAATATTAATAACCTACGTAAAACCTTTAATAAAAGTGTTGAATTAATATACTACTAAAAAAATATTGAAATTTTATCTAAGTTACCTAATTAGATACAGTATAATTATAAGATTGTAACGTAATTAATCCGTGATGACTGGTGGATGACACACACACAAAGAAGCATTTGGTCAAGTAAAATTTACATTTGTGACATTGAAGTTTAGGTGTGAGTCCGTCCGTGCCGGCTTATTATTTTATCCACAGAACAGTTTTACCTAAGACTTTTTTTTCTAGTATGCAACTTCACAAAAAACGGCAACCTGTTATAAGTAAACTATACAAGGACAAAAATCATAAATTAGACTGCACGCGTGAAATAATCAAAAACAATCATATTCAATGTAATATTTTTAGATATGTAAATATTTTGGTGATATCACAAAGATCCGGTAAAATTACAAAATATACGCAAACTAACAAAACCTGATATAGCGCGTAGTCGGACGCGCTCACCGAAAGCCACTGACTATTTGTTTACGAGTCCGTGGATATGATGTGAGCGGCGAGCATATAAACCGGCTTACAAAATCTGGTACAGGTTTATTTTACTATACAGTTCATTCGCACTTGGACGCCTAATGTAAATTCCGCAGTCTGATTTCCATTAAAAATTATTAATAATTATTATTATTTCTCTTCCACAAATGTTTAAAAAGTTACGGTAACAAGTACTAAAGTTAGCCGTCGTCGTGTGGGAGAAAATAAGGCTTGATGATTTCTAGTCACTAGGCTTCTTTTCCGATATTGCAATTTTTAAAAATTTCGCTCTTTACTATGTTCAACTTAACAAGTACTATTAACTAATTATTAGCTTCTGCCAGAAATTTCACATGTAAAAATCTTTACCACTTGACGCTAGATAGACCTAAAATATCTTATCTACATGATATGATTTTTCTTAAATAGTCAACATCAAATACATTTCTCAATTTTAAAATTAAGGACCTAACTTTTCTTCGAAAAAATACGCCTGAAACTTGACGAGCGACATTGTGTATGTGGGACTCTCCTATGTGAAAGTCTAGCAGTTGATGGAGTCTAGCTACTAGGCCTAGACTTAATACTCCTACTGTGTACCTTCTTCTGTTGGTGAGCCTGGGAAACAATGGCTGAGTCACCAGGACACTCAAAGCTCAACCCTAAGTCCCTAGCTAATACTTATGCTTAATGGAAATGAAAACGAAACGAAAGTAGTTTGTAATTAAGTAGTGTAAATTTCTTTCGTTTTAGACAACAACTTAATAATTCCATATCACTCTAAATTGCAGACTCGGGGCAATTTAGAAAAGTACAATACAGCATTGACCCAAGCCAGAATCGAACCCGTGACGTTAGCGGTCGGCGACATCATGAACCACTCGTCAAATTACCTAGACATTTTTTTCTTTATTAGGTGATAAAATAAATGTAATAAACTTTATGCAATAGCGGACTTAAGACCAAAAACCTTCGATACCAGTCAACCAGGGCCTGTGTTTTTTTAATCAACGACTCTAGTCCACCGCATACGATTGGTCTAGTCTAGGATTGGACAGACCGATAAAACGTTTGATGTAATGTGGTATAATTTTTATGGTTAGCGTTCAAATTACTTTAGTTTCGCGACGATAGAGCCGCTGCGGGTATAATTTTTTTAAAGTATTTTTATGTAGAATAAACATCAACATAATAATCGTAAATACAATAATTAAAATTCATTAAACAAAATATAGGTTTCAGACCGGCCCTGCTTATGTTTATGAATTCGTCATCGAGTCTTTTTAACCGATTTCAAAATCCAAAATGAGAACGTCAGGTATATGTTCGACGGCGATGTATGTTTTTTATTCACCGATATTTCCATCAATTGTTGATAAATTTTCAATCTTTTTCTTATTCGATATTAATGGATCGAGATTTAAATTTTATCGAAATCCAATCGGTAGTTTTCCTTTTTAGCAAAACAAAATATATTTTTCACAAAAAATCACCAGACCTCGAACAAATGATTTTTTATTTTGAATTCATTTGAAATTCCCAAGGAGGATTTTCTATGTTCAAGGAGATTGTATATTTCTTTATAAAAGTAGGTACGAGTATTTCTATCAAATTAGCTGTTTCCCCGTGACTGGGAAAATTACAGCCGACGTTCAACGTTTACAACGTGGCTTCCGGTAGTGAAAGACTTTTATAAATCAACTGAATAGCAAACAAACAAGAAATCAAATATTTCTTCTTTATATTAAGACTAAAGAATTATTTGGAAAAATTATTTCAAGCAAATAAACAAAATCCAATTTTTAAGACAATATTTCATATTTATGGAGTTTCCTATTTTTTTTTATATGTCATTATGTACCTTATTGTTTCTTTTGTATCTTTACTGTGCTTTATGTGTTTCTAATAATGTACTATCTTGTTTGTGCCTTTGTGAGTTCAATAAATGTTTCTTCTTCTTCTTCCTCTATTATAGGTTGGGGAAAAACTCAACCAGGGTTTCGCCATAGTCTGTGCCGAAGCCAAAGCCTGACCGACCTTTGACCATGACTTTTTTCGCACGTTCTTGTCAAACGTGATCCACCGTTATCAGCAGTAATCAGCTTCTTAAAAAATGGTTCGGTTACATAACACCGTAATAAAGAATCACAAATGAGTACACGGTTCATTAGGTTTCTTTCAGTGAGCTCGTGAGGTAGCCAAACATCCAGCATTTTATGGTCGCAGCTTATTCCAAATGCATCAAAATTGGTCTGTGGTCAATCCCAAGTTCTCAGCTACGTCGTAATTTCCAATAAGTCGATCTAACTCCAGTTTTTCAAAACTGAAAACACTTAACCATGTAATGTGCTACTCTCACAGAAACTACACTCTATAAAAGTCGCAATTTTTTTCGCAGATTGCGTTGCATTTTTACCTATTATGTAATGAAATTTTAAAATGTATCGAAATTCTTCACCAGTAAGAGAAAAAATTGAAAATCATCTTTTACTAATTTGAATTCGGAGTTATCTTCTTTAAATTTAAACTTTTTAATGATACCGAAACCTGCCAGATACAAATGGTATAGCCATAAAGATTTTATTACAAGTCTATGCATAATATATGCGAAAAGACTTCCTTAACATAATATTTTATCAAATAGACAACAATTTGACTGAAGTAAGAACTGTTCAATAGAATACTATTATTATTAGCTATTAACAGTTCTTACTTCATTCAAATTCTCGTCTATTGGTTAAAAACATTTGCATAAGCTATGATGACATTTTCTCGAGCACCTACTTACATCTCCCGGCTATAGTTACAAGTGCAAGTGTATACTTAGCTTTACGATATTTACTTTACGATGCTGACTTACTGAAGAAAATATATAAGTCTTCGTAGCCAAATATAAAAAAAGAACGTAAACTTATAGCTTCTTCGGTCTGTCTGTCCGTCCGTATAATGTATTTAGAATCACTTTATTCCGAAACTATTAAGACTATGCTAATTTTGTCTAACTTTCACGGTTCATGAGATAGTGTTCAGGCTATTTGTATTAATTAGAGGAAGAAATGTTGACAGTTGACATCTATCAAAAATTGTATTGTGAAAGAAAACCCATGGAAAATAAATTGTATGAAATTAAAAGGAATTTCATTATTTGACACAGACAATAAAAAATATAATATCTTAACATGTACATCCACTATATGTCGTCTCCGATTAAAACACTTAAACACTCCCGGTTTCTTAGCATAAATTAGGATCAAAGACTACTCACTTTGTGAATGCTGGTTGGACTTAAGATTATCCAATTCCTTGTATGACGTCATTCCCTCATATATTCCCAAACCCACAAATTTTAAAATCGTCTTAAGATATGTTAACTCCTCTTTAAAATCGTCTTAAGATATGTTAAATCATTCTATATCATTATATTTAGAGTAATAACATATGGCTTTGGTTTGTCTGTTAAAGAATTGTGTAACATCGGTGATACTTAAGTTGTGTAAGTACCTTTCATGTAGGTAAAATTTATATTCAACAAAATTCAAAATTTAACTTGGGCTTTATTAGGGGTTAAATGAAATTGCCGTTTTATTGTAATAGTTTCCTTGAATTGACATAGAATCTTCATGGTGTGAGATTTTCGAAAGAAACTTTTTTCATATGGTTTCTATGATGTTCTTCTTTTAAAAAATGTGAAACATTTGAATATCAACTTTCAATTGTTTTTGTTATTCAACGAGACAAGAAAGATGGAGAATGGATGAAGTACCGACGCGGAAGAAACGCGGCAGAAACAACCCGCAATATCAATGTTGCGTTTGGAGGGGCGAGGGGGTCTGATAATGAACGCACCGTGCGATTTTAGTTACAACGCTTTCGTGATGTAAACTTCGACTTGAAGAACAAGCCACGAGGAAGACCGCCCACACATATGAATAACGATGAATTAAGAGATATAGTGGAAGCCAATCCTAGTCAAACTACCCAGGAATTAGCGGCATGGTTTAACGTTACCTTACCCATAACATTGACTCATTTGCGACCAATCAATAAAATAAAAATATACGAAAAATGGGTGCCTCATGATTTGACTGATCTGCAAAAAGAAACGCGTGTTGACACTTGTGGTGACTTGTTGAATCAGTAGAGAATGAAAGAATATTGGATCGAATTGGGACGTGTGATGAAAAGTAGATTCTTTATGATAACCGTAAAAGAAAAATGCAATGGTCAATCGCCACAACAGTGTCCTTAAGCAAAACTTAAATGTTTGGTGGTCTCAGGATGGTGTTTTTCAGTGCGAATTTTATTAAACCGAAAACGTTTTGCCACATTTTTGTTTTCCATATTTTCATTTCACCGAAAAAACAATTGACATATAGCTGTAATCCGATTTTCAAATATGCATATTTTTTAAATCAATACGTTTTTAAATCTTACTCAACCTTTGATAAATATACATATTTTAGACGACTTAGTTTCCAGAAAATTGTTTTTAAAATGGATGATAATGTTTATTTTCACTTAGCTTTCTGCCTCCAGATGAAATACCTTTTTATTTCTATAAACAACTGGACGCTTTTACAGGTAATAATCTTCAAATTGTTATTATTATAAGTATATTTATTATAATCTTCAATAACTTGATAAGTGATATGGTTGGTTGTGGTAGTGAGATTCAAGCAGGCGTTAATCATGCAAGCAGGAATGCAGCAACCAGGCAGACATACAGCATGCAAGCAAGCATACAAGCAATCATGCAAGCAAGCAGGCATGCAACCAGTCATGCAAGCATTCAAGCATACGACATGCATTGTTTCTGTCACGGCTCCGGCGGTCCCACGCGAGTTTATCGTGGCAGATGATTTTCGAGCGTAAACCACCTGCTCCTCAACTCGCGGGCCGCCTCGCCCCTCTGCGCCTACGCGGGCTTAAATTGCACTCTAGAGGTAGGGCAGACAAGACTACGTGAAGTCGGTTTTGCAGCGATTCA